GGGGGGGGGGGCAGCAAGATGGCGGCCGTGCTGGAGGTGGAGGTTGGCGGCCCAGGAGAGCGCGAGGCGGAGGAGGTGGGGGCTCAAGAAGGGCGGGGAGGACCTGGGAGGGTCATAGGGCCTATGGGGGCCCGTGGGGTGGCAGGACTGAGGGGGACGCTGAGGAACGGCGGCTGTGGGGTGGCCCTCGGGGGGTCTGCGGGGGTCCCGCGGTTACCCTGGGGCCGAGGTGCGAAGCTGCAGAGCGAAGGAGCCTTCAGAGAGCCGTGAGAGGAGGGCGGTGTCCTCCTGTGCGCTCTGTGCCACGGGCGCTGATGGGGTAGAGGTGCTGTGGGAGGGGGGGAGCTGTGGGTTTCACCAGAAAATTGGGGCTTTGAGTCAAGGGTCTCAGATGTTGGGGCTGCGCTGGGCCCTGGGGGCTGCGCTGGGCCCTGGGGGCTGCGCTGGGCTCTGGGGATTCTCCGTGTGCTGAGCAGATCAACAGGGTGAGAGGGGAGGGCCTCAGTTTGTGCCATGGAGAGTCAAGGTGGGCATTTTGGATAACTTCTTCCTAAGAGCGGCCAGGTGTTGCAAGAGGCTGCCCAGGGCAACGGGGGCAGCTCCGTCCCTGGAAGTTTTTATGAGCCATGTGAACGTGGCACTGAGAAATGTGGTTTAGTGCAAAGGCAGAAGACGCTGAGTGCTGCTGAGCAGAGCCAGCTCCATCCTTCTGACTCCTGCCATTTAGATACTGACCAGCATCCATCAGATCCCATCTCATCTTTCTCTCCCCCAAGTGCTCAACCCTGGGGTGCTCAGCTTGTCCCCATCAGGAGCTGCTCCAGGCCCCCAGCATCTCCTCACCCTTACTGGGCTCTCCCCAGCAGTTCCCTGTCTGCCTGGAGCTGGGGAGCCCAGCACTGGTTGCAGTACTCCAGGTGTGGCCCCTGCCCCTCCAGGGCAGAATAGAAAGGAGGAGAACCTCCTTGCTCTGTGCACTGCCCTCCAGGGAACCATTGGCCTTCTTGGCCACCATGACAAACTGTTGCCTCACAGGTCAGCCTGTGGTCAACTGTTGACCAACCCTTGGCCAACCAGGACGTCGCTGTCCCTCTTGGCCATGGGGACACGCTGCTGCTTTGTGGTCACCCTGTTGGCCCCCAGGTCCTTCTCCACACAGCTGCTTTCCCTGAGCTGTGGTCGTCAGGAAGGAGATTCCTGTCCTGCACCGAGCAGAGTTGGATGCTCGCCCCATCCTGCAGCCTTGGAGCTCTTTGGTGCTGCTGCTGCGTTGTGGACCACCGTTGTGGCCCTTCCCCAGAGGGAAGTGGTTCCCTGAGCTGAGCATCAGGTCTGTGGTGGCTTTGGGGAATAGCACAGGAGTTTCCTTCCGAGCCCACAGTGCTGTGTGTGGGGAGAGGTTGGGGGCAGAGCTCTATATCCAGGTTGCATTCCCCACGCCGTCCCAGCAGCTGCACGCAGCACAGGGTCGTAGCGTTGGCCAGGTGCTGGTGTTTTTATTCTGAACTGGAAAGTTGGGTTGGAGCCTTGGGAGTGCTGGGTCAGTTTGGGGTGAGATTTGCCAGGATTGGGGCTGTCAGGAGCCCACACACACCTGTAAGAGGCTGTGATTCCAAAGAACCTCTGGCTTGCAGGGAGTTAGAATCCTATAGTATCCCAAATTGGAAGGGACCCACGAGGATCATCAGATCCGACTCGAGTTGAGCGTTTTGTTTCCATCTGTTTCCTTCTCACAGAATCACAGAACGGCCTGGGTTGCAAAGGAGCACAGCGCTCATCCAGCTCCAACCCCCTGCTGTGTGCAGGATCACCAACCAGCAGCCCAGGCTGCCCAGAGCCACATCCAGCCTGGCCTTGAATGCCTGCAGGGATGGGGCATCCACAACATGAGAGTGATTGCTGTGCTGACAGCGGGCTGCACAGCTTGTTAGAGGCAGAGCAGTGACTCTTTCAGCAGGTCAGGAAGCTCAGAGGGGAGCCCTGGCATCTCACAGATCCGCATTCTTCACCTGCAGAGACCGCGTCTCCCGTGGCTGTTGCTTGGGGACGAGGTGCTGCTGCTGGCATCTTGCTGTGGGCTGTGCCTTTTCCTGCCTGGGGACAATTAAGACAATTAAGGAGCAGAAGGGAAGCGTGGCACCTGAGCCCGGAGCTGTGTGCCGTAGCCCTGGGGACAAAGGTTGGAGCTGTGCCCTTGTGTAGGTGTGGTGCTGGAGCCTGATAGCAGAGTCCTTGCCGTGACTTCTCACAGCCGTCTGAGCGCTGAGGTGCAGGGAGGTGACCTGGTGCTTTGGTTTTAAGGCAGAGGTTGAAAAAGCCCTGTGAGGAAGGTGGAAGGCAGAGCCAGAGGTTCCCCCCCCCTTCTCCCCCTCTTTCCAAGTCCTGGGCTCAGAAGTTTCCTCCTCATATTTCAGAAGCGTCCCTGAGGTCTCAGGGAAAAGCTTTGCTATTTGCTGCTACCTGCAGGGATTGAGTTTCTGTGAGCAGTGTGCAGCTCCTGCAGCATGCTTCTGTGTTCGGGGACATAAGGACAGCAAAGCAGCCAACCCTTGCGATTGCCATCGCTGCTCCAACGTTGCTGTTGTATTTTTTGTCTCCTTAGGTCGACCTTTCACACCTGTCCCCGGAAGAGAGATGGAGGTGAGTTTGTGCTGGGAGCAGAGCTGAGAGCGCAGAGGAAGCCTTCAGCCTTCACCCACGTGGTGCTTTTTGCTGGAGGGGAGCAGGGGGCCTCTTTAAGAAGGCAGTGCTAATGTTTGACCTTCACAGTGCTCGTTGCTTGTCCCACCTTCTCTCTTGGCCGAGCCAACTGCGGGCAGACGCTTGCTGAGAAGCCCGCTGGGGCTCATCTGCTCTCATTATCAACTTCTTGACGGTTCCTGGAGATCAGAGAATTGGCCTTGCCTGTTGGATTGGGATTTCTTTCCTAACCAGACCCATCTTTTTGGCTTTAAGACCGTGGATTCAGGCTGTTGCACGCCCTCATTCCGCCCTGGCTTGCGGCCAGGCAGCGCTGCATGCAGGAAACCACAGGTGTCAGCAGAGAACCGCTCTGTGGCCATCACTTGTCGCGGGTTGCACGGAGCTGGGGTTGCCTAGGCTGCAGCTGGGGTGGGCTGGCTGATCTTTAAGATCCACGGAGCGACTTGCAGGGCTGCCCTTCTCCCTTTTTCCAGCAATGCGGGCAGCCCCGCCGTGCCCTTCGCCTGCCCTGTGCCCTCCTGCTCTTTATCTGCCTCCTCCCTCTTGCTGCAGGGTGGAACACGCACTGATGCACGCCAAGCACCGTGGCCACGAGGCCATGCACGCCGAAATGGTCCTCATCCTCATCGCCACGCTGGTGGTGGCGCAGCTCCTGCTGGTTCAGTGGAAGCAGAGGCACCCTCGCTCCTATAACGTAAGTGTCAGCCGGGGCTTTGATGTGGTGCTTTAGCAGCAGGGCCAGAGATGGGGCTGATTTCACGTGCTGCTTTCGAGGAGATGCAGAGAGGCATCAGGGCTGTGCCTGGAGCAGGGAAGCAAACCTCGTGGCTTCCTTACCGCGTTTCCAGGCGGTGCCTGGAGCCCTGTGTGAAACGTAAACCCAGCCTGTCCTCCTGTTGGAGAGCCCCAGGTGCTGTGAGTCACCCTGACGTGCCTCTCCTGTGTTCCTGCAGATGGTCACCCTCTTCCAGATGTGGGTGGTGCCTCTGTATTTCACGATAAAACTGTACTGGTGGCGGTTCCTGGTCGTCTGGGTGCTCTTCTCAGCAGTCACAGCTTTTGTCACCTTCAGGGCCACTCGGAAACCCCTGGTGCAGACGACACCCAGGTGAGTGGGCGCAGCTTTGGGCAAAGCTCAGCCCCGGGGTGAGCACTGCAAGGAGTCCTTTCAGGTCTCACTGCCCCAAATCGTAGTCTGAAGTTTCTGCTTTGGGAATCCAAGGACTGGGAGCTGCCGGGGCAGAGGCAGATCTGTAGCTTGAATTCAATTCCCAACCTCTGACGCCGCATTTTGTTGAAATCTCTAACTTGGAAATTAAAACGGTTCTGTTCGTTTTGGGGGGGGGAAATGGTCAGCAGCTTGTTTTGAATTCTTGCAGGCTGGTTTATAAGTGGTTTCTGCTAATATACAAGATGAGCTACGCCACTGGAATCGTGGGGTACATGGCTGTGATGTTCACCCTGTTTGGTCTGAACTTATTGTTCAGGTGAGCGAATCTTTTGGGTGTGAGTGCTGGGGGATGTGGCAAACCAGGGAGAACGGGGTCAAAGCCAACTGCTGAATGGGGCAGGAGGCCAAAGAGAGACTTCTGGGGTGTCCTTTCCCCACGGATGGGGTCGTGGTGAGATGCTGATGGGGAGCTGTGCTTCCAGCTGCTGGCAGCTCCCTCCTGCTCCGTGCCTCTCCAGCCTGGGGGCAGTAGTGAGGTGTTCTTTGCTTCTCCAATAAACCTGCAGCTCAGGTCTGGCAGTAGCAACGGGCCTTATCCCAAGCCAGCTTTCATTTCAGAGAGATTAATTTCTTCTTGACTAATGAACAGACCTGGCAGCAGCCAGCAGGGACGTGGAACTGTTAAGTGAGGGCTTCTTTGGAGAGGATGTGCCTAACCCTAACCCTGCAGCAAAGCTCTTGGTGTCGTGTGTTGTAGAATCAAACCAGAAGACGCGATGGACTTTGGCATCTCTCTCCTCTTCTATGGTCTTTACTATGGGGTCCTGGAACGGGACTTTGCAGAGATGTGTGCAGACTACATGGCCTCCACCATTGGGGTGAGTGAGGGCCACCCCGATAACAGGTTCTGGGATCGAGCTGCTTGCAGCAGGAACTTTTCCCTCCCCAAAATGGGAAGGTGTATCGAAATCCACCTGAGCCTTTAAAATCTCTGGTGCTGAAATGTGGTCATTTCTGGGGCCGTGTCCTAGGTGCATCAATTCTTTATCTGTGGCTTGTGCCCTCTGCAGCTTGTGGTGCGGACAGGGCCTGTGTTCCTGCAGTGGTGGCCTAAAATACAACACAAAGCAAAAACTGAACGAGGGCACCTGTGGGGTGAATCGCATTCCTCCTTTGCAAGAGTCCTGTAGGGCTCTGAGAGCTCTGCATCCTTCCCCTCCTGCTCTCCAGGCTCACTGCTTTGCTTGCTGGACGTTCTGTCTGTCTGTAGGACTCAATCCTGTGGAGAAGGACCCAGGGGTCCTGATGGCCAAGAAGGCCAGTGGTGTCCTGGTTGGCCAGCAGTTGAGCACAGGCTGACCGTGAGGCAGCAGTGAGTCCTGGTGGCCAAGAAAGCCAACGGTGTCCTGGTTGGCCAAGGGTTTGCCAACAATTGACCATGAGGCAGCAGTATGACCTGAAGGCCAAGAAGGCCAATGGAGTCTTGGTTGGCCAACAGTTGAGCACAGGCTGACTGTGGGGCAGCGGTGAGTCCTGGTGGCCAAGAAGGCCAACGATGTCCTGATTGACCAAAGGTTGGCCAACGGTTGACCACAGGCTGATCATGAGGCAGCAGTATTTATCCTAGAGGCC